CCCAGCCTGCGCTGCCTCTGGCCCCAGCTCCCCACCCAGCTCCGGGCGCCGCTCGGCTGGGCTCCGCGTCCAGCTCCCTACTGAGAACAGTCCCTCCCTTGTGCCCGGTGCACCGTTAGCTGGAGGTTTGGCCACGTCAAGTCGGGTTTTCTGCAAAAGCAGGAGCAGAGAGCTCTCTCCCTGTGCGGACACAGAAGGAGGGAGCTGGGGAGGGCAAGGCTGCTGCTCTTTGCACTGGAGATTCGGGGGCAAGGCTTCGCCTTCTCCCGGGCTGCGCCCTCTCCCGGCTGAGGGGGGCCCGGGAGCAAGCACAGCGCCTGGAAAATGGAGCAGCCGTGGACAAGGTAGGGTGACTGCTGTTTCCGCGCCGCATCCCGCATCCCTGATTTTGTGTTCGCCCCGCCTCCACCCCGCTCCCCACACCTTTACCTCTAGGGGTCTCTTTTTTGTTGTCTTGCTCTCCGTAATGCCCATTTCTCTAGATCCCCCTGCACGTGTTCGCATCTCTGGTGTTTCGTTGCCTAAAAAAAAATCTCCCCTCTAACCTCGACTCGATGTTAAAAATACCCATGAGGCTGCCTGGGAGTTTTTGGAGAAATGTTTGTCTGTCTTTTCCTTGTTCCACAGATGAGAGGGATCCCCGCAGGCCTTTCTTTAGGGATACCTTTGATTTCAGACACCTTGGAAAAGATCAGATTTCCTTCTCCCCCTGCCACGTCTTCCTTCCAGAACTCACCCTCCACCTACACAAAGCAAAGGGCTGAGTGAGCAGGCCAGCCAGGCTCATCTCCAGGGTCCAGTTGGAACTGAGTTTGGGAGAGGAAAGGAGGGAGATTGAGTGCCCTTCATCGCTCAGACCTCATGGAGGCCAGGGCAGATAGCTGCTTTTCGTTCTAGGTCATATTTTGAAGATGCTGGTGAAATTGTGTCTTCTCCATCCTCCCTTCCTTCCCCCAAAGATACTTTAAAGTGGAGCCCGCTCACGGGGAAGAGATGATGGGTTGAGATGAAGACTTTATTTTTGTTTTTCAGTAGGAGGGCAGATGGAGAGACTCTTCAGAGGTGTTTCCATAACAGATGTTCCCCCATCTCCAAGACCTCGCTTGGGGAACTGGAGTGGGGCCAAAGAGTGTTGGGAGCCCTACCAGAGCTCCGGGGCCGGGCAGACTGAGGAAACTCCATTACTTGTGAAAAAGCTGTGGGGGATTTTTGCCGATTGTTCGACAGGAGTGAACTGTATAATGTGAATTTTAAAGAAAGGGCCACTGGAAGTTTAGGGTATGCTGGTAAATTCACTAGATTTGCAGGTGATGATTCTACTTTCTACTCTTTTCTGCTCTTCTCAGGCCTCTCCTAGAGGACTCCGCTCTTCTAGGGGGCATCACTAGATAAAAGGAATGCAATCCAGAGGCAAGGAGGACTGAGAAACAGGCCTTAGGGGGTGACGGGAGGACCTGGGGCTCCTTAGTCCCAAGAACTGAAGACTGGGGAGGGGGTTACTAGGTTAATGATGCGGATTTTTTTCAATAGGTGGGGTTCCACATATGTTGACATGTATGCGTTTTGATATGTATGCTATTTTGTATTGACAACAAGCTTCAAAACTTCATATGTCAAATTTTCTGAAGGTGTTAACATTATAGATATTTTTACGCTTAAAAATGTCGAATTTCGGCCAAAAAAAGCATTTGCGGAAAGTTTTAATTCATTATTTTATTTGGAAGAAAAGTGCTAGCGATTAATTATTAAATGCGGATTAATCATTAACCGGTTAATTATGCAGATACCGGTTAATTATGCGGATTACTCAACTATTTGAAGAGTAGCTGCTGTAGATGGAGTAGATCTATTTGGAATCTGTTAAGAGGACAGATGACTGATAAAGCAAGTTGTGGGGAGGCACGTTATGGCTGCGTATAAGGGAAAAGCTTTCTAACAAGTGACCTGGGCAGTAAATAGGTTCCTGACCCAGGAGTGATTCAAGCGAAGGCTTGATGACCCCTTGATAATAATGAGAGAGAGTGTATGGGGGTTCTTGCTCTCTATATGAAGAAAAGTGCTAGCGATTAATTATTAAATGCAGATTAATCATTAACCGGTTAATTATTCGGATACCAGTTAATTATGCAGATACCGGTTAATTATGCGGATTACTCAACTATTTGAAGAGTAGCTGCTGTAGATGGAGTAGATCTATTTGGAATCTGTTAGGAGGACAGACGATTGATGAAGCAAGTTGAGGGGAGGCACGTTACAGCTGAGTATAAGGGAAAAGCTCTCTAACAAGTGACCTGGGCAGTAAATAGGTTCCTGACTCAGGAGTGATTCAAGCGAAGGCTTGATGACCACTTGATAATAATGAGAGGGAGTGTATGGGGGTTCTTGCTCTCTATGTGTTTTTCATACTTAAAAAAGGTATTACTGACTTTTTTGAACTTTATATTTAGATGTAACAATTTCAGAAATAATTTAGAAAAATCACAAATCATATGTTAACTAGTATAGTCCAGCTGATTGCACAAATTGAGTATACCTATGTAACGGGCACTCAGATCAAAAAAGAAAACATGACCAGCACCCCTGAAGCCCTCAGGAC